AGTCGAAACGCCAATCAGATCTATAATGTGACATTGAAATGATATGTTATGGGTTGCTACTGATCATACCCACGTCATTTATGATATTGTGCTGTTGTTGATGCAGTTATGCTAAATAGAGCTATATGGAAGCTAAGATAAGGTCGGAACGTTATTGATTTTACTTTATGTACTTCTAATCAAGCCACATGCTATGCTTTGGTCAATTTCTCGATTCATCTTAGGACATTCTTCAATATTAAAGCCACAAGACACAATTACTCAAAGTTAATTGACCCAAAACCTTTAAAAACCGAGGATTTTCACTTCAGCTACTTCAATCCCACCCATGCCTCTACATCCACACAAAACAAGATACCGATCGTCTCCATTACATTCAATTACAATTACTTCCATCGCGCATTGTACGCTAATTGATTTGTCGTCGACTTTTGACTGAGCTTTTTTTGCGCTATCATAAATTTTGCATCTCAATTGTCTTAAATGGAAGTGCATGCATATATGTACATAATGTTTGCAATGTCTTAGATGAAGATTGATTACCTTTTTGTATTGCCTGTTATTGTCTACGATGGAAATTTTTATTCATTGCTGTTTTGATTATTAGTTGATGAGCTGCTGAATTTTATGGGAGAATATTTTATGTGGAAGTGGATAAAGCTTGAGAATCTTTTTGTTAAATCACTCAACTAATTTGCATCAATTTGCATTTAATTCAATTTCATCAACTTCTATTAACATCCCAACCTAGTTTTGTCCATAAAAGCTTTAACGTCACAATTCATAAACTTCATAAGACCAAAAACATAATAAATAATGAAAAGTTTATGTCAGTCGGCGACAAACGCATTCAGCATAAATCCAATTAAAAAACTTTTCCATATTTAGGTAAAATAAATATTTTTTTAAAAATAAATAAAATGACACGAATTAAAAGATGGAAATATTGCCTTGATGCTTGACCAAAAATGTGACTTCAACAAGCATGTATATCTTAATGTTGATATCATTGCGCATAAACATGATACCCTACACCATATAATCACTTGAAATTGTCATTGAAAATAAATAAATAAATATTTTTTTTGTGTCCCATTGAAGACCGAAACTAATCTCAACTGTCTGTTGCCTCAATTTGATTGAATAAGCTCCAGTCTTCTTTTTAACATTGAAACATGAAAATTCATCATTTTGGCGTCTGTCAAAAAATTAGCAAAATCTTTCTTCTTTGCAAAAAAAAAAGACGAAAAAGTTTTAAAGACTAATTTATTATTTTAGAATGCGTAGCGAATCTTAGTGCCCTTCAAATAGATTTTGACAGATATGAAATATGATAATCTGGTGGACTTAAGGCTTAACAAATTGGTTTTGAATTTATGAGATTATTTTTTGTGGATTAAAGAGATTTGAGGTTGATTTTGTCTGATTTTGGAGTTTATTTTGGAATTGTTCCTCTTAAAACCTCGAGAATCCAGGCTTTATTGCTTTCTGACTAGCTAGTACCCTACTATAGGAAGGCACTCCACCCATGTGTTTAAATAACAATTTAAATTTCAGGACTGAACCTAAAATATTCAAGTGTGAAGGCATCTGATCTTTAAATTTAAATTGTGAAGGCATCTGAACTTTAAATCAAAAGTGTTAAGACGCCAGAACCTCAACTAATTAATGTAAAGGCACCTTAACCTTAAAATTGTATTTATTAAAATAACTATTTACAAACTCTATTTCAATTGTAGCGAATGATCCCGAAAATTCAGCGTTTTAAATCTATCACCATCCCTAATGACATATAGCATCTCCATACACCAACCATATACCTCAATTCTCATTTCCATCAGCCACAATTCTAATATGAAACTTTGTTTACAACAAAATATATATTTTTTTTTTCATAGCTGTGCTTAGCGTGGGATCGGAATCGCACATAAATATTCAAACAAGCTTTATACAAATATGGACACAAAAAAAACTTTTTTCTTCTCTCTCGCGTTAAGCCAGAAAAAAAAAACAACTAAACGAAAACATATTGTGGGCGAGTGAGCATGAGAATGTGAAACAGAATTTCATCAAAGACATTTTCAAGTTCAACACGATTGGAGATGAAATGTTTTTTTTTGCTGCCTTCTCTGTTTGCATTACATCATATGCTTTAAAAATAACAACAAAAACAAATATAGACAAAGAATTATATCGTATCTGTGTATCCACATTAACGCCATCATCATCATCAACATCAAAGTGAGATACTAAATGGAGCCATCAACACAGCACAGAGAGAAAAAAATGATGATGATGATATGTGTGAGATGGAAAGACAAATGTGGATCATCGTAAATTTTAGTATTTTATTATTCACGTAATGACTGGACATTATCATTTGTTGTGCAGAAAAAAAAATACATCAAGGCAGTAAAAATAAAATCAATTCCATTTATGGCAATTTTTCTTAAAGTTTTACACACTAAACTTAAATGTGGGTGGGTAAAAGGCATGAGACGAAATAATTGTGTGGGATTGTGGAGATAAATGAATAAAGAGAAGTGAAAGGGCTGCGTTGAAAGAATTTGGTGACAAAAATTAGCTTTATTGAGAGCTTTTGAGGTGCTGTGTGCTGATGAAAGAGGGGTTATTGCTAGATTTTGACCATTTGCAAAGTTCTCGTCTATCCTAATCCCGTGTAACCCTCTTAACTCATTTTTAAATTATAACTCAACTTTTGAGAAGTTAGGGAGGTTCAAAAACTCCCGTTTTTGATTGCGTTCATTTATTAACAGCCCAAAAACAGCTTTTGATCAAGGTTTAATCCAATATAGCAATGTTCTCAGCTGATTCTGCCTCTTTAACACAACATCAGCTATACAAAAAGGCCAGAACATCACCATGTCTATGCAATGCTTCAAAATTAACATGATTACGTTTCTGTGCCTTAGCAACGACGTTGTATCTCCCAGAAATCATATAAACTTCAACTTACTCTACTCCCAACCCAAGCATGATACAGCACTCCAAAAGTTTACATCCAGAATATTATTTAATTTAATTATAGCCTGTAACTTTTTGAAATTTTGTTATGACTTGACTACTCGAAATTGTGGGTTTCTATTTATAAAGTAGCAATTTTAAAAGGAAAGCTCATAAAAGCTCAAAGTCAGATTATTATTATATCAAAAACTGGCATAGCATTTAAGCTGGCATTTAATTTGTTTGTGGAATATTTAAATTGTAGTTTTGAAATGAATTTAAAAGAGTTGCAAGCTTAGAAAATGATACAGATTTTAATAAGCTTAGATATTGAAGTAGAAATGCAGCTTTAAACAATTTCCAAAATTGACTTTAAAAAGAACAGCAAGAATGTGTAAAAGCCCCCGTATCTGTTTCAATCAGATCAAATTCCTCTCGACATGATATCTTAGTCTTGTAGATCTTGTTGAAATTCATCAATTGAATTAGACAAATCAATTGAAATGCAAAGCTATTTTGCGCCTTAAGCAGTCAGTGTCGATAGAATAAATCAGAATTGAGAATTTAAATTGACTGGTTCGTCAATCTTAGCCCACAACAAAAATGGAATGTTTATTTGGAAGTTAATGGTTGTTAATCTGATGCTAGAGGCAATCGCTGTAAGAACTTTTGCCAGTAATTGAGCCGATCTTGAAGTATTTTTCGACTAATTAATTGAAGATTAAATGTTAAGCTTGAAAATCAATTTAAAGTTGAATTTTCACATCGAAAAAGTTAAGTCTATCGTCAATTATCAATCAATTTCCTGCCATATGGTTCAGAATTTTTTATCGCCCACAAAAAAATAATTCCCAAAATCAATCAAGGTGGAATTTCAAAATTTCTTCTTTACATCAAAAACAAGCAAAGAAATTTGCAAAAGGGGCGGCACTTCCTCAGCCGAAAATATATAAATTTATCAGAGTTTGTGCAGGCACAAAACTAAAATTAAGTCATTTGTCAGATCATTGACATTTCCTAAATACCATTCATAATGATAAGAATGTCATGGAAATTGACTAATGTTTGGTGTGAAGTCATCAACATAAGAAAGATAAACAATAAAAAAAAATTCTGTTTACATTAATGACTTCATTATCGTTTTGGGAACATAGTAAGTCTTATATTAAACATCGAGTGTCAAGTGAATGTAACAGCATGAGAATGTCCTTCATCATTACGTAGAGTCTTATCATCATCAAAAGATTTATGGAAATTTTTATAGTAAAAAGTTTTATGAATCATAAAGTAAATAAATTTATCGGGTAGACAAAAATTTAATTTTGTTAAGTGATGAAACAGCTGACATGGAAGTGATTTGAATTTTTTTTAAAGACTAGTCATTTTTGGTATTAAATTACTTTTTAATTGTTGGCGTTTATTGGATTAGATTCTATGGACATGACTCTTAGTTTAAAGATTCGAAGACAATTTCTGATGAATCTAGGTTTTTTGAAGGCAAGTAATGAAGTTTTGGGAATCAATGGTTACATTTATAAACGATTTGTCCTCAAAATGGTCAGTTTAATGCTGTGCTGTATCTTACAATCACTAACTGCCATCAATAAAGCTTGCTATTCAATCAAAATTGATCCTTTTAAACATTTAAACATCCCTCGTTTTGATCAATTGAAGAGCAAAGCCCAAATCTCATCAACTATCAAAATTATTTGACATCTGCGATGACTCTTAGTCGCCGCTAAGTCATCTCAATAATTTGAAAAAAAAAATCTAATTTTCTCAAAACTAATTTAAGTCTACAATATCAATTCCTTATTTGACTTATGAGTACTTGAGAAAAATTTAAATGACTAAAGATTTTCAGATAAATCATCAATTTTACGAGGCGTCTTCCTCATTTGAGAAGCGTGAAATTACTTTCAATGAATATTTTAATTACTGGACAACCTTCTTTGAAAAGTTATTAAAATTTGTTTAATAAATTAAATCGTAATGGAACCGAGGAAAATAATTAAATGTAGATTTTGATTACTCACCTGGAAGTGCAAGATGATCGTCCAGATGAGACCCAATGTGAGTCTAGATAGAGAAAATAAATTTATTTTGAGTTAAAGAACTTTTAGGATTTCAACAATTGTTTAAAATGAAAATTTCGTTTAATTTGAAATTTCCTGCCAAAAATTAAGATACAAATTAATTATAAACTTACTTGTGATTCCCATCAACGACATCCTCAGACCGTATGTTAACCAACTTAATTTTTCTGTATCTTAAAAAGTCCAAAGCCATCTGTACATTTTGGAGCATGTGAAATCGCATTCGTCCTTTCTCTCGAGGCTAAAATAAACAAAAACTCATAAGAACCTATTTCAAGATTGTCCAAAAAGTAAAGTAGAACTTACCAAATGTTCACCAGATAATACTTCAAGTAGTGATAACAAATTGTGTCCATCTCGTAAGTCTTCGAACAGATCATCAACTCGTCTCGAGACCTGGCGTCAAAAAAATAACAAAATATGAATGAAATTTCAGTGTGAAAATAAGTTTCATAATTTTTTTTATTTGTTTCCAAACAATCAGCACTCATTCAGAACGTCCATTAATTATTTATATACATTCACAATATTTATGAGGAAAGTCTTTCAAAAAGATGAAAATGAGAACAACAAAACAAAACACATCAGATGAATGACGAACTTACAGGGCTTGTACAACATGGGACACCATTGATGTTTACGCATACATGAAGTAATGTGTAGTTCTGGAATAAAGAATTTCAAGATTTTTTTTTGTTCAATTTTCAAGAATTTCAAGATTTTTAGACTCGATCGAGTGAGAAAAATTCAATTTTTTACCTTTGCAAATTTCCAATGCTTTTTTTTGAGTCAACAGAAAAAATTGAGAAGAAAAACAAATTTTTTCGAAAAAATTAGTTCAAAAGCAATAAAACATTTTTTTATCGTCATTAAAACTGTCATCGTCATAAAAATTATGACTCTGTTGTAATTCAGAAAATAAATGAGATTTACGAGTAGAGTTTATAATAAAAAGAAAAAAAAAATAATCGCAATGTTCAACACGTGACAAACAAAAAGTGCAAGCAATTTATTTATAATAATCAAAAAATAGTCTTTTGTGACAAATTGAAAAGATTAAGTTCAACAATAAGTAATAAAACTTCATAATCCGCAAAAACTCATTCAACTTTAATGAATAATTTTATAAATTTTTGCATAAGTTAAACGAAACATTTTAAAATAATAAATATTATTCATGCAAAGATACATAAAAAGCCAATTAATACAATCTACTCGAAGTGTCAGAAATAAGCGCATTGTTATGCTCGATACATAGGATTAAACGGTTTTTTGACATTCAAATTTTATAATAAAAACAAAATGGCGAACTTTTTCTCACCTCGAAAAGTTTTTTCCAATTTAAATAAAATTCAATGATTTTTTTATGAAATTCTTCATTATTTTAAGAAAGTAAAACATGGCAAGGACCAGACAAAAAAGTATTTATTCCCTTTTTTGTAACAACAATCAAAATATTTCAATAATTGACAAATTATCCGCCCATTTTTTTAACCAACCATTTAACCATCAAGTCAAAATGTGTAACAAACAGCCATATCCATAAAAACTGTTCCAAACTTCAACAATGCAAATTCTCTTTGTTGAATTTCTAATTCACTGTATTAAAAACTTTTTTACTATTCATGCTTTTGAAAAATAGAAATTAGAAAGAAAATTGATGTTTGTGAAAAGAAGCAATAAAAAAAATTATGCAAGAATTTCAACATGATCATTATAATTATAAGACTTATAAATAACTTGTAAATAATACCATTGAATATATTATTTAAATTGAGAAGAATGAAAGAAACTTTCCTTTTGTAAGTTACTCAATGAAAGAGTTTTTTTTCTATTAAGTATGTACGAGCGTACGTTTGGAAAGAATCTTGGTTATTAAAATTGTTTCGTCTCGTGAATGAAAATGTTTTTCTACACAAAAAAATTAATGTTTATATGGATCGATGACCTCTGATTTTGCGGAACATTTTGCCGGTTTATTGATTTTTTTAATGGGTCGTTCTTTTTTATGTAATTTTTTGTAGTCCACGTGAATATTAATTTGAGTTTCGAAAAAGTAAAAAGTCTTCCCGCATAACATCTTTAATTCTAATTTTCAACACTCATATCAATTATCCATCACAAATTGAAAGATTTACTTCGCTAAAGCAACGAAAGATAAATTGTAAACGAGTAGAATAATCTTTTTAGGAATATAATGAGAAAAATTATGGTAACAATATATTTTAAGTATAAACATAGCCAGACATATCTGTCATTGATCGATGATGGTTGAAAATTATAGTATTTTAAACAAATAGAAATATTGATCCCTTAATTTGCAGATTATTGTTTTGAAAAGGTTTTAAACTCTTTAATGAGGTGTTGAAAATTCTTAGTCTGGTTCTTAAATTAGTTTTTGGAGATTAAAAGATGAGTATTCAAAAAATTAAGAAAAACAAAATGGCCGATTTCTCACTTCAAAAAGAGTTTTGCTAAATTCATCAAAATTTTATCTGGTTTTCCAAATTTTCAAGCATTTTCTCACAGAAAATCATGGCAAGGATCAAATAGTCAAGTTTAAGCTCAATCAATGCAAAATAATAAAAATTAAAATGCAAAAATAAGTTTTCGATCCAATCAATCACATTTTCAGCAAAGCCAAACAAAAATGATCTCATCAAAATCCATTTCAAATCGTCTAAACGACGGATGTAAAAGTAATCAATTAATTTTATCCACGGTCATTTTATTTTCTGTCTATTTTTATCACTCACGAAGAATTCTAGTCGCGTTGAACTTTTTCGCATAAAAAGTAAATTTGCATTAAAATCGTCAACACATTTTTAATTCCTGTTCAAAATCGATTTCCTCGTCAAATGCTGACAAAAGATTTATGAGCGCCTTATTTTACAGTCAATTTATCAAAAAATAAATGAAAAATCATCAATCGATGCAATTAATTCTCAAATAAATTGAAATTAAAATGACTTAAATGCCTTTAAGTTCTTTTGAATTGCTGCAGAACATTTTAAGCTTCGATACATTTTAAATTTGTCTCATAAATCAATATCGATTAATTTTTTAATAGCCATGATCACGAGTTTTGTGAATTGATGTCAAGATATTGCAAAAAAAAAAAAACAATTTTTGTTGAGCAAAAAAATCCACGAAATTTCGTTAAGCAGCAAAAAATATTTACTAAGCAAGCCATAACCTTTCTCATTATATCCCCATGACTAAGGCACAAGAAGCATCAGCTAATGAACTTTGGCAGACACAAAAAAAATTCTATGACAAAAATATTATCATTAAAGTTGCAGAACTGCTGTTCGTTGTCCTTGGATATGCCCATAAAAAAAATTATTATTTACTTCATTCATCGTCTGTTGTCACTTTCGTTATGGCTGACAAGTTGTTGCTACTGTACATAAAAATTATATACATTTATTTTAAGTCGCAATTTCCAAAACGGCAATCAATTTGAAAATCTATGTCACCATGTGCAAAACTGATCAATTACAGCAACTGAATGAATTAATTGAAATTTATCATGATAAAAAAAATGCAGCACGTTCTTATTCGGCAAAATGGACGACTCGAAAATATAAAATTGATGATTTATGGATTATAAATTGCAATAAAAAGAGAATTTTTTGAGTCTGACAGAAGTAAAATAAAACAGGAAAAAAATTAATTGCTCGATTTTGACTACACCAATCACTAACTGTACAAGCAGCAATTTCAATTAAGCATGTTTTTGTAAATGTCTTACATCAACAGTGGCAATCAAATTATAGAAAACACATGTTGTGTCTATAAACACACGATACATTCCAAAAAATCAAAAATTTTGCAGATTATTCAATTCACTGCCTCGTTTCATTCACAATAAAAAACAATATTATAAAACAGCAGTAGAGCAGCAGCAGCAGCAGCTACAACAAAACTCCCAAATTTGAACATAAAACCAAATTAACTTCAAGCTAGTCGAGCTGCAAAGTGGCGCACAAAAACATGACAATGAACATGATGAAGTGATGGCAATTTTATTGTCGAATGCGTCATGCTGTGTGCGATCGCACTTCATGCTGCAATTTTGAAGGTTTGGAAAATTTTATCTCTATTTTTAGCAAGCTTATTTTGCTGTCAGTGGAAGCTTTATTGGGGGTTGACAAATTGGAGTCAGGTGAGTATTGATTAATTTGAATTTAGAATGAGGCTTGTTAGGAGATTGAGAGCTTGTTGCTTGATGGTAGCTTGGGAGGTGTCAAAAGGAAAAGAACTGATGGTTTCTGGGAGTTCTTTTGATTTTTTTTTTCTGAATTTTCGCAGATTATTTTAGACATTTTTTTTAAGCAGTTAAGTGCCTTTCTGGTCGAATAAGTAAGGCGCTTTGCTCAAATTTGGTATGGTAACTTGAAGGTCGTCGGTTCAAATCCAGCCATTTCCAAATTTGTTCTTTTTCAGAAGTTTAGATACTTCGACTGCTTAATGTACGAGATCAAGCCATAATTGGGCATTTTGGGCAACTTTGGATTAAGAGGAACGGATCAGGAAATTGAAGTGTAGCGGGAGAAATAGGAACGAGAGCTACAAGATTATCTTATATATTGTCAGAACGGACCTGAAATGTATCACGTCACGCCCACAGAAAGATTGAAACGAGAGCCTGAATTTAACCGAAACCTAGATTTAAAGATTAGAAGTTTGATTCTACGTCACCCATAGTGATATGAAATGTATCACTAATCAATGTAAAAAGTAAAAACATGTATAAATACTAATTCTTCCGGACGGTAACTTCGATAAATAAATAATAATAATAGTAACATTTTCTGGGTAAATTATGCCCTTTAACATCAGCTACATTAAAGGTCAACGACCAATGATCTTTGAAATCTTAGTAAATAACCACACGCAAGTCATAACAAGCAACGCAAAAATCAATGGAACCTCCAGCATCTAAGCACATGTCTATCATTTAATAACCATTCAAAATCAACCCAAAAGCTAATCGCAAATTGAGCACCTCCATAGCAAAAACTCAGCATTGGAGAGCAAAAAAAAATCAAGTAAATTAAAATTTCCTCACATGACTATAAAAACGCTTTGAACATCCACTTAATGATGATTTCTGTGCAATCTCTTTTCATTTATAATGTTGCTGATCGTCAAGTCATTATAAGTTTAAGTCACTTCCTCTAAACACTACTGAACTTGAAAAAAAAACTTTTTTATGTAATTTAATTGCAAAAAAAAAAAATGAATAAGATTAAGCCCAGCCCTCTTTGATTAATCGTTATTGTTTGATTCAATTAAATATTTTTCGCCATAACTACACGTGTCATTTTGAATTTTGTGCAGTGACATAATAAGTCGGTGTCATGAATCAATCATAGTTCCTTCCTCTCAAATACAATAGCTGATTCAAAGTGAAATGTAATGCAGGGGTTCTCGAACTTTTTCGTCCGTAACACTTTAAGAAACGTACCAGATTTAGACATTCTTAAGCAGACCCAGTGAATCAATAGCGTGTCATGGACCAATGTTTGAGGAACACTGATGTAAATGTGAAAGGATCATGGACTGGAAACTAAAAAGTCCAACCATATGTTAAATCCTCATTAGTAACATCACAATGACAGCACCAACTCGAAAAATTCAATTCAAAATAAAATAATGAAGTAATATATAATATGGACATTGACATATTAAATCATGTCTCGATTAATTAACTTACATATGTGCAGTAAGTCTCATTTGCATTTTCAGTTCAATGACTTCTTTATTTGAAAATTATTTCCTTTCGTAGAACTTTCCCTTCGACTCCATGAATCATTATAAAGTCAAAGCAGCATGTGAGAGACTAGAAAAATTTCATTATTGTGATAACAATCAATGTTAATGGATGCTATGGCGACTTCTCTATTTAATACAATCACTTTTCACTCTGCCTTGTAATCTCATTCAGCTTTTTGTATTGTATTTGGATGTAACTTGAATAGCTTAACACAATGTAAAATGTAAGTAAAATTAGTTGTTGAGTCATTAAGAAATTGGAAAAATGAATCACGAATTTTAATTTTGTTTTTCTATATTTGAATGGACTCTTTTTTTGGAATCGAGTGCTCGAATCTTTTGTTTACAACTTTACATTTGATTCATTGAGTCTGTTTTTGGTTTTGTATTGAAATGGAAATCAGGGGTATTGAGGTGACTTGTGGATGCAATTGAACATAATTAATCTAGAATGTATTTTAAGTTTTGATTCTAAAGTTATTAGCAGTGCCCCTAGAGGTCGGTATTTAAGTTTACAAACAGATTCGGGTTATATTTCTATGGGATATACTAGAATAAGTTTGATGTTGATCCCAAATCATAGTTTCTGAACAATATCTAGGTTTTAACCTACCATGAACTAGGTTGACCCCAGCACACCACGCACTTGTCATCTACCAGCGCTAAGCAAGTGTTAGCTGACATTACAACTCTACAAGCTACTGTGTGCAGAACAGTAATAATTCGATTAAAAATCACAACTATCCACTAGCTTTCCTTTATTCAAAACTCTCAATTTCACCTGACAACACAGTTCCACCTCACATCTTTATCACTTAAGCTTCTAATTAAAAATCCCCATCAAATTATTTACATCAAATCTCTACGACCACATAGAGAGAACATCCCCATCTCAGGGGAAATTTTACAAACCTCAACAGCAGTGTATATTAAATGTAATTTAGCGAAAGCTGGAGCTGAAGATAAAATAAAAAAAAGTTCATTAAGGTGTTGTCTCTATCTTGCTGTGATGATGACTAGCAGAGACATAAGTAAATTAAATTAAGCAAACCAAAGAGGAAGTGAAATTCAATTATAAAGAGAAAGAATAAAGTGTAATGCCATCGGATGCTGTCATTTGTTTTAGCTGCTTATGCATGGTATGTACATTGTTATCGCAAATAAGGAATGAGCGCTTATAAAATCGAATGAATTATTGGAAAGACCCAAAAACGTACCGAAATAAAAATGAAATTGAAAATTAAGTCTTTTTCATGTTGAAACAAGTTTCTTTATGGCAACAAATCCCAGCAGTTCTACAACAATGTTGGTATACTGCAACGAGAGATGCTCAAATTATAAATATTTCGCGAAATGTTATAAGAGACCTTGAATGAAGCCGAATTTTTTACTGATTCATTCAAGGGGACGTCTGCAAATGGCGTCTGTTTTAAAAAAAAGAATTTGACAGAAAACTTTTGATCATTTGAAGCTTGCCATAACTCTAGAGTCTAGACTTTTGTTCGCTTCCCTAAATATTGAACGTCACTGATTAATGACCCCTAAAAACATCAGCTTTTTTGCGAGAGCTCAAATAAAAGCTCGTATTATTGTTATTGTTAAGTCGCTTATTAAAATGTGTACTTTATAACTGACTGCTTTCGATTTTTTATAGCGGCTTCTCGCAGCGAATGAATGTAAGCAAATATTCACATTTTATGATTTGATAAGTGATGATCTGGGCTGAAGAAATGGAAGTAAAATCAGTCGGAAGATATCAAATTTCTGTCGGAAGAACTTTATGAGCTTTTTCTCATAAACGGATTAATTTTATTGGGATTGCATTTTTTATGTAGATGTCTGCCATGTTATGGATTAGGAAATTTGTGAAAATTGAGTGATTTTTATTTAAAAAAAGCTGATTTTATATTTTGTAGTGGGAGTGCGTTCAATGAACAAATTTAAAAAAATTTCTTTGAAGTCATAAGCTTAAAATATGTTTAATAAATCCTTGCCAAGTTAAAGATTGAGATAATATTAAAATTTGATTATAATTGGGAAAAAAAAGCTTAATACCTTGCAATTTAATTCTCGAAGTGAGAGTATGTTCATTAAAAAAAAATCCTTTTTAAAAATTTTTATTTAAACTCAATAATAACCTCTTTATTAATCTAAATCTCTATAAAAACGCAACTCCTTTATTTTATACTTTTAATAAATAATAATAAAAAATATTTCACTTCTTCGAACTCCGGTAAAGTAACCTAAATCCAATATGGAATAACATTATTTGCGAAAAGGAAACAAAAAGAGCGAAAATATGAAACACAAAAGGAGAAGAAAGACGAACATATTACAAATTAATAATAAGTTTCTTACAAGACTAACAATGATGGTCATTGTACTTTCTTATTAATAATAAAGAAGTTGAATATTATTTTGACGTGCATACTTAGGAGCGAAATTAATGAATGTTCGCATTCAAGGGATGGAGTTAAACTGAGCTAAACTAATTTATTGCATCATTTTCGTGAATTTTTAATGTACAAGATGTAAAGCTTGTTGCGAAATATATGACTATAATTTAAATATTTTTAAATAATAAATTCTGTTCGTAAATGGCAAAAATTTAAAATTCAGAAGTGCTTTTTAGGATCTGTGCATTGTAATTTTACAAGAGAATAAAATAAACAATCTGAATTGAGGATAAATAAGCAGGAAAAGTTGTGAAGAAGAGAAATTGCATCTTTACATTGTTGATTATTGCATGATTATCGACATTTTTTGTTTATTGTTTATGAGAATGAGTAATAAAATTTTACAGACTTAATCTACCTGAATAAGTTTCACATCTAAGAAGAAACTTTAATACCAAAAAAAAGATTCTCATTTCGAAAATTTTCCACAAAATGAGCAAGAAACATTCCGCAAATATGAACATAAAATCTCAGAATTATTAATCCAATTCATTCTGACAAAAAGTTCTTCTTTTGGGTGTGGTTCGTTCACAAATGACGTCTGATTTCATTAAAATATTCCCATTGATAGAGTTTGAAGCTTAAGAACTCTTTAAGATTAAAACCGAGGATTTAAAAACTCAAATTTAAAAAAAGACGTCATTTACGAACAACCCCCAAAAATGTCATAAAGACAAAAGAACTAATCCGCTCAAGAAGAACGTCACAATTCGCAAAATATAAAAAAAATCTCAATATCAATTCAAATGAGATTAAAACAAAAAGAAGAACCAAAATTTCGGATCATGCAGCACATGCACGTCTACATTCATAATATGCAGCACATGAAACTAAATAAGCCATGGAAAAATATAAAATGTTGATCATCAAGCAACCCAAAAAACCAAGCATATGATCTTTGATTTATGAGAACAAAAGGCACATTAATTCTACAATACACTAAGTAAACGGCATCGAATGAAAGCAGATATGTGAAAGTATTCTTTCAGCTGATGCATGCTTCATACGATATTAATGCTGGGAAAAATAACGAAAAAAGATTGTAAATAAATAATAAAACAGAGAGACAGAAAAGGAATGAAAAAGACGGGAAGGCACATTTCGCATATTGCACACATCCACACACACAGACTGCTTGCAGTTTTAATGGAAGTGGTTTGAAGACGAAGAAAAAAAATTGAAAATTTTTAATTTAAAATGTCTTAAAAGAAGAGGAATTAGAATGAAAAGTTTCATGAACGCTGGTTTTATGGGGGCTGGTGATCTGGGGTGTATTTTAGAGATTGTGAGCCTGAGTCGACTTTACTGACTGAATGACCTTTTTGGGGGGGGGGGGGGGTCTCTTTTTATAGGAGATTGGTTGACTCCTAGACGTCATTAGAGTTACCTCAGTTCTGATCTCAACCAGCTTTTATCTCATCCATAGACCTCTCCCCACCCAGCCCCCTATTCAGCCAGCAATAAGAACACAACTTTCAATCAATGAAATAATGCTCAACAATTTAAAAATAATCTTCTTTTTAAAAATTTCTCGCAATTTATCATTCCAGCACAGTCAGTAAATTCGCAAGAGAAGTGAAAAAGAAGCAAAAAGCGGAAAAAAAATTGTTGGCGACTTAACGTAACTAACGATAGGTCGAGGCCATTTGTTACTATAAATTATCGCGTCAAACTATCGCGCGCGGGTAAAAAAAATTTGCGGGAGATCCGAAAAAAATTGAACTTTTCTTTTCCATTCCTTTCATTGAGTGCCACAGCTAAGAAATTCTCATTCAATTCATTCAGAAAACGACAAACAAAACAGCAACAAAAATAATAGACATAACAGAAACAGTAACAAGCACACACAAAGCTCGCAAAAATAAAATAAGAAGTAAAACATGTAAGGAGATAAAGCAAAAAGAATCGTGAATTACCTTTTTCAAATGTTTGTTGACCCATTTTGTGAAAGTTTTCTTTTGGATTGCATCGCGTTCGTCTGTAACACAAAAAAAGAATAAGAAGATTAAAATTAAATATTTTTAAAAGAGCGAAAATGCAGCAATAGCAAAATTTTAATTGTTTTTTCTGCTACTGCTGACTAACTTCTGACTGACTGCTGTTAAATGAAGTAGAAAAATCGTTTTGAAGATATTTTTGACATCATTTAGTTGCTCGAGGCTTAGAAACTTGGTGGTGGTTACGGTTGCATTTAAACAGGAGCTGGTAAGTGTTATTAAGTACCACCATAGTCCACAACATGAGAATTAGGTAGTATTTTGTGAAATCTGACTGTATTTAATCAGTCAAAGCTTTTGAAGTGAAGCTCAGGTACATCACTTAAAGAACTATAGTCTAAACTCTAATTGGTTCAATAATCCATACCTTAGGAGTACAATATACCTCCAGCATACCTCCAGATACTCAGCAACCACCTCCAAAGATCACTCAAGTTTCTAAACCTAGATTAATTGCACATTAAGAAACAAACCAAACGCTGGCATTCATTAAATGCTTTTTTGTTCAACGCTAGCCCACACAGTCTGTCTCTAAGACATTTTTATTGCTTGGCTTAGTTTACAAATTGAAAAAAACTTTTTTTTCGTTAGATTATTAATTTTCGTCTCGTTTCTCTACGCATTTCAAACCCAAACTCTATTTTTATATTATTTTGCAAAAAAAAAACTTTTTCTTTGAATTACAAAAATTCAATAAATATTAAAAGTCAAAAGTTATAAATTCAATTGTAAATGTGGGATAATACATAAAAATAAATTATTTATTGTATTATTTGAATAAATTTTAGATCAATTGACTCCCCAATGAATGCATTCGAATGAGTAAATTAGATTGTAAAATATACTTTTTGATATAACTTTTGTGTGTGGCAGATTTAAAGGTTCCTTGTGAGGAATTTTTGTTGGATTTGGAATTTTATTTGGGATTTTTGAGGTTAGAATTTAGTGGTTTGATGTACGCTAGGGTTCTCTTATAGACCATACTAGATAAAACTTAGTTTTTTGGTTATCAAAACTAAAAGCTGTGTTTTTGAACTATACTCGACCAAAACTCGTCAAATTTAAATTTTATAACCTCAATTTTTCAAAACCCTAACCTAAAATTCTACCTCAAAATCACCCTGCCCAGCTAGCTCTAACATATAATTGAACATATAATAGCTGTTATTACTATAAACATCATAGATACATAAAAGGTTTTATGAATTTAATTAGCAACTAAAGATGTGTAATTTAATTTAATTGAAGCTAGTTCTGATTTAATTTAATTTTTCTCAAATTTGTTTAACTGAATTTTATTAATCAAACACGTGTAATTGAATTTTTGCACGTTTTAAAATTGTTATTTAACGAAATTTCTGTGTGGGGGGTTGAAGGTGTTTGGAATGGGATTCAAAAAGGTTGAAAGCTTTAATAATTGTTGTGAATTTATGTTAATGGGTATTTTGGCTTGGAGTGTGCAAAGTTTTAAAGTTTTCATAATGAAAAATAGCTTGAAGTGATATTTGGGAATATTTATCAACTTTTAGGATGACTTGAAGCTAGTCAAGAGATGTAAAACCCAAAAAAATCAACACTGGTGCTCCACAAATCATTCTCAGTCGATTTTAGAATGGCTTTAACCTAGTTCAAATCAATAAATATTACAATATTGATGATTCTATCCACAAATGGAAAATTCAAACAATTTACAGTTCCTAGCGCCTTTAATCTTCCCAAAAGTCTCCGAAAATAGCAAGTTCAACCCAAAAACATCAAGTTCAATACAATTTATATCCACGAAAGTCATTCCAATTGATTAAAATTTACATAAGTAAATTAAATTTTTATTGAATTTTGAGCAAATTAATTGATTGCAAGTCATTGCACTTGACAGACTTGCTTGTTCATGAATACACAAATCTCAATTTTATATCAAATCAACAATAAAATGTTCATTGCCATCAAAATCTAGTCACATTATGTTCATAATATGCGAGAATAATGAGGCATTTGGGTATTTTAAATTGAATATTTATAAATTCACGTGTAACATAAATATGCATAAATTAGTCTATGATAATAAACAGCCAATTAAGTTGAGATAGTTTGAATTTTTCTATCTTCTGCTTGGGTTGAAGATAAATCTTAAGATTTAGCCTTAAAATATTCCAAAAGTTTTTGTTTATAGCCAACTTCTTATTGTTTCTTGGACTAATTACATTTGCCTAAATTTGCCATAAAACTTTATGCTTCTAAAGATGCTAAAGCTATTAAGAACTTACTCGATGCATGAAGGAAGTTGACTAAAAATAACAAAACTTGAGTTTCAATTGTCAAACATTTCTAGACATTCAGTTCGTGACTGAAAACATAACAAACTCTCAATTTCCCTCATAATCTTGATACACAATTATATCCAGCATAAATTGACATTGAAAATTCATTCTGAGGCAATAACTTCAAGTATCATTAAGCACATTCTCAATTACTTGAGAATAAACTTTCGAAAATAGAACCAATAAATATTCAATCAATGTTTAATGTTCCTTCAAATTATAAATATATATCCAAATGATATGTGAGATCCATAATTAGAGACAATGGGGAGATTATAAACATTTCCCATAAAGATGTATCATTTTCATAAGTGCATTAATTTCGTAAACAAAATTGGATGCTTTGATACTTGAGAGCATTTAATTATAATTATTATGTTAAATTTATTGGGAGTCAATGAGTTATTTGATATAGCATGATGCTTTCTAATTAAGATGATGCATAAATTTTGAGAAAATTAGATTATTACAGAATCATAGATGAGAAAGTGCAGAGATAATTGAGAGATGTTAGGCAATTTTGATGGTTGACTTGGGAGTGATATTGAGTGGTAATTGGGAAATTGAGTTATGAAACTTAGTTCTATAATTGATCAGTTTATGCTTTCCTGTCTTAAACTTAGAGGAGTTGATAATGAAGCAATTTATGTGCATTTAAAGGCATAATCGGATCCACAACCTATTTTCCATTTTCTAAATTGAAGGGCAACATAAAAGGGTCGGTTTGTATAGTGTGACTAGGTTTGGTACCCTATACAGCACTTAAAAATCAGATTTAGTGCTTTATAGTGCCGGTTTCTTAAGTAAACTTTAGCCGTACCGCAGAATATATTCAAAATGTACCCAAGAAATCAATCCAAGATCTTTAAATTGTCTAACCTTAAGTGTCATAATTTATAAGTTGCTTCTTAAATCCAACAATTGAATGACAAATCAATTTAAACACATTTTAACCTATTCTGACGTTAACTCAACTCAAAATCTCTATTATATCCACACTTTTACCTTACAATTAATTCCACATACCCCCCATCAATTCCATCAAGCCCACTAATCGCATTGTTAACTCAATTAAAATATAATAAAAAATTATTAATTCACTTTTAATTACGAAATTTTCACAACAATTCTCTGTGTGATTAATAAACAAATCTCATTGTATTCACTGGATATTCTAGTCATTGTCTTAAAGAACAAACTTCAGCTCATCCCACGTATTCGCAATGTTAGATAATTTAAAAATTTATAGGTTTTCAGAGAGAAAATAATAAAAATTCTTTATGGCTGGCAGCAAAATAAGCATTTGTGTTAAATTATTCGCGTTCTTTATTCTCAAATAAAATAAAAAAAAAGTAACAAAAAAATAAGAGTAAACAGCTTCCCCAAAATGGAAAGTCTTAAAGAGCAAGAATACAAAATTAGCGAGGAATTATGTGCTTGATGAGCCCTCGCACCTAAATTTTCGACGTTTTACATTCGGGAGATGAAATTAACGATTAATATATCAAACAATTTTATATATGCGTGAGTGGCTTAGGATATATTGGCACTTAAAACTATTAAATTAGTCAATAAATCCATTCTAGAATGTGTGAGAATGAGAAGCTGGATATCTTAATTGGAAGTTGGTAATTTGGGCACGGAACGCTGAAAACATTATTAGACTTATGTCTTGATAAGCCAGGAACTAGCCAAAATTAATCTTTCTGTACTTATGACTCAAAAAATGTAAGAAGAATTCCATGAACATCCCAGACCCACTTTAGACTAGTTTCTTTGACTACAGCCCTAGTCACTATCAAATTCTTGTAGATCATCGAATCTCAAGTAGCCTTAATACCATCCATTTAGATAGCAGCCCTACCCACACCCTCTAAATCACCAAAATTAGCCCCAAAAATATCTTCATTTCCACTTCTACAACAACATCATATTGACAAATCATTAACAGCACAATTATTAAGCTAGAAAAAAAAATGTATATAGTCAGTAAGTGTGTGATACAGACAACAAAGCGATAATTATTTGCTAATAAATTTCATCATCGAAACTATCTTCTATGCTGTATTTGTGTGTATGAATATCTTTTTTTAAGAATTCTATTGACATTTACGTGCGGTATCGACGATACGAATATTATGCGCAGAAGAGATAACAAAAATATTTTTTAAGACAATAACAAATGAAGTGATTAAGTCAAGAACTCGTTAGTTCGTATTAAATTTACATAAAAATCAGTTTTTCGGTTGTTTGTGCTCTCATTTTTCGATGGATTAAGAGAATTTAATTATGTGAGGATATTTGAGTTTTAACGGCTGTATTGGATGTATTGATATAAAATTTCAGGTATTTGATGTGATGCTCATGCTTGTTTTTGATTTTGTATTGCTCTTGAAGTTCTCAACAACTTTGCATTCCATGCTACACAGCTTGAACCTCCCAAAAATAACCAGAATTCCAAAAAAAAAATTATCAACAGCCATTCAGACCCATCGGCAGTATCAATTTGATGTTAATGAATGAATAAACTGGCCAAATATTTATACATAAATTATAAGACTCGATATTGATTTCTTTGATATCACGTCGCAGTGAAATGAAAGGAAAACATCGCAAAAACCAGTCCACAATACAAATAAATTGGAAGCATAAGCAGAAGACAA